GATGCCACTGTAGAGATAAACGATGGAAGCTGTGGCGGTTTAACATATTTTCTCACTTCAATCGCGAAAAGAACAATTTCCAGCTTCCCCGAAGCTCTCTCTCCCTCCGAAAATCCTTGTTGCCAAAGTAGATGGGGGTCACGCGGCAGCGCGATGACGAATACCCTAGGGCTAAGGCGGGGGAAAGAATGCCTTGGAAAAGAAAAACTGCTTGTGCAGCCCGGAGTTCCTTCCCCTTGTTCCTCCGGCTTAGCCCTGGAACTGAAAACTTCAGTAATCCTGTTCTCCCCACCATCCCCCGCCTAGCTAACACACTTGTTCCAGGGGTTGGTCCAAGACGCCTTCTCGCCGAGAGATTGAAACTCTTGCCAATAACAATGCCTTGGATTATCTGTCAATTTCTCCTGCCAAGTGCAGGAGCGTCATTGTCTAATTGTAAGGTGCTTTATAAGGACTCTAATATCTCTCATTGAGCACTGTGACCGCTGCCATTTTTACTCTTTCGCAACATGCGCAGTGTCTGCACCCTCTCGTACGACGTGCTCTCTCGCGTAGTCCCTCTCTTTACTGCGCTGTGTCTCTTCGAAGGAGTTCCTCTAGTTTAACGACGCAACAACACTCTTCCCTCCTCCGAATCGTATGATTTGTTTTGCAATTTTTCTCACTGAAGAACCTTTCGTTAAACTCGTTTCATTATCAAGCGGAATAACATACCAAGTCGATCACTACCCGTGCCTTTAAGGAGGAGCAACAAAGCAGGCTCTTAGCTTTATAAAATATACGAGGTTCACTGTCGTTCGCCACCAGTGAATGGAAAAGCTCTCCTGTACTGAGGCATCCTAATCCGGGAAGTTCTCGAGCTGACTGGTAATAACCCTGTTTTAATAACGGCATGCACATACGGCACCCTATCTGGATTAACCCTTCAAAAAACCTTTCCAAGCATTGGAATAGCATGATATACTAACGAGGAAGTTTGAAGGAAGCAGTCCCGAGAATTTAGTGGAAATGAATGAGAAAGATGCATAGTGGATCGGGTACGAGATCTACTCAATGAGACTGTAGCCGGCCCCAGCCGGGACAGTGGCGCCTTAAAGGAACCCTTCTCGGAAAATCCCGAGATTCTATTTTATACATAAACCAGTTTAGCTCCGCACGCAACCGCGCGCATCACATGGTAGGCTTTAGTGAAGCTGGACAACTTGCTGAATATTAGGTCACGTGGCTGAGAAACTAACAGTAAGATGTTTGGAAGATGTGTCACATAAATTCCAAAGGCCGTCTAATTCTGCTGAAGATTGTAGCGTAATGCGCATAAGCGATTTATCAGCATTCTTAAAAATGTTCAAGAGGTGCTGTATATTCCTAATAATGACAATATGTTCCAAATTAGTAAACATGTCTGCGAAATCTGCTGTGTAAATTTTGAGATTTTCATGTGCGATATTGTTGAGATCTTGACTTATATTTATGTTGCTAATAGACCAATATGTTTTGATTGTTCTATTTCTGTTTTGTATTACTTTAGTATAATTAACGAAGTGATTTTTTATGTGCGTGAAAATAATGTGCATTTCCTTGGGCTAGCGGTTTGATGCTACTTTTATGTGCACCTGTAATATATCTAAACTTGATAGGGTTTTTATGTAGTTTAGGTAAAGCATATATGATGGGTAGATCTGCATCTACAAATGTGTTAATGTTATTTCTCACACAAAGGAACTTGTGTTTCAAGTTTTATTAACTCGTATGGTATGTACTCCCCTTTATTGCGAATGTTATCTATTGTTAACATGGGCTTTATTTTATCATGGTAACATGTGTGTAGATATTGTTGCAAAAGATACTTACTTGTTGCGTGTTAGCCTTATACTTGTTTTTGAAATAAGAAATAGACTTTGCTAACTGTGTCTTCATATATTTGTTTGACTTCTGGTCTGGTTATGCCATTGTCCACTCTATATCTAGTTCCTTTGCTCATAATTCTTTTGAGCTTCTCTTCTTTTATTATGTTCAGATCTCCTGTTACGATGTGTCCATGCTTATCATTTACATATTCTTGTACTGTGTCCTCAATACAAGCACAGTTTCTATTGATTATATCTCCTAATTCTTCGTTGGTGAGATCTTTCAATACCCTGTTATAATTGTATATTCTACATGATACTGGATTGTTGTATTTATATACGATTCTGATAGGTGTATATTCAACTGTATTACTTTTATTCTTAAGCAAGTATTTCCTTGACAGTGTGTGAGTTGAATATTCTGTTGAAGGGTATTTCGTTGAAAATCCTGCTTTTGAAGCTAACTTCTATATTGTGGAAGTTCTTTTTTGAACTTTTGACATTAACTGTGTCAAAATGAAAATGAGCCAGTAGGCAAGAATATGAGGTATCTTGTTTTGTTATTAACTGTTTCAAGAAAGTCTACTGACTTGGATAGATTTACTATCTTGTCGATTTCTTTTCTTCGTAGACTTTTGAGTAACCTGTAGTATTGCACAGGCTTAAACTCTCCATTGCTGTTAGTAATTTCTTCCAATGCTCTTTGGAAAGTTATCCCTTTGTTCTTTCTTTTGTGTCTTGTTCCTCTGTTATTTCTTTCTTTTGGTTATTTTTAATGAGAAGAAGGGATGGTCCGTAATAACTTCTGATAAGCACCAGAGTGCTAGACACAGTAAGCCAGCAAGCGTCTCTTAAGATCTCCGCAATGATTTAAGCCTCACAGTGCAAAGGTTGTACCATGTAAAGGTTGTCCTTTTTGATTTAATTTGACTTCTTTATTAATCAGCTCCTGAATTTCTATCAGGAGTGATAATCTGGTTCAATCAGAAAGAATATTGCGTATCAAGACACAGAGGAACGGTGAGGAAGGCGCTAACATAAGCATGATAGGATAAGTTTGTAATAATGGCAAAGAAAACTTCGTATAACTTCGACATTCCTCTCAGTTTGGATGCGAGTTCTTTGGAATTCGCCGCGTCATCGCGTACTGCGGCGGCTGGCGCGGCGACCTAGCCACTGCCACGATTGAATAGTCACGCACCCGTATTACTGTCCGTTGCATAGGCTGCCCATCTTGGCTGTATCTCACTGTTTGATAAGCGCAGTGAAGTGCACAGCTAAAGTGATGATGTAAACAACCACTATGCGTCGAGTATCGAGGTAATTTAGCGGTCGAATATCTCAAAACGGAATGCCCAGTATTCATTATCATATTTATTCGAGCATCCCATTCATCCTCAAGAACTCTAGAAGGTGTAGCGGTCGAAAGGTGGAGTTTACAATTACAACGCTGATGAAATGATATTGAAATGAAAGGCATTATCTACAATCTGCTCTCTATTTTCTATTTTTCAAGTGCTCTCTACGTTCGTACGCATATCGTTACTATCAGTCCTCATCAGTCGTTATCACTTTTGACCCCCACCAAATATGTTCCCGTCCCACCCCCTATATCATGTCCCAAAATCAGCTCCTGACGACTGCTGCGAAGCGCACTATGAATTTCGTGAAATTTGTGTTTCAGCGCCTCTTATCTACTCTTATCAGTCGTTATCACTTTGTGACTAATGTATGATGTGTGATTCGCCCCCACCAAATATGTTCCCGTCCCACCCCTATATCATGTCCCAAAATCAGCTCCTGACGACTGCTGCGAAGCGCACTATGAATTTCGTGAAATTTGTGTTTCAGCGCCTCTTATCTGCTCTTATCAGTCGTTATCACTTTGTGACCCCCACCAAATATGTTCCCGTCCCACCCCTATATCATATCAAAAAATCAGCTCCTAACGACTGCTGCGACGCGTGCTATGAATTTCGTGACACACGCACACACACACACAAACAGACAGACATAGCGTTTTATGTGTGTAAAAATATTTGTAATGTGTTCTCCAATTCTTTCTTTAAGTTTCCTTATTGTCATCCCGACATATTGTATTCCACAGCCATTGCATGTTAAACAGTATATAACATTTCTTGTGTTACAGTTTGTATCTGCTTCCTTATAGGTATTGATGTGCAATCCTGTCACATGCGATATAATGAAATTGTCAGTGTTAGTAATACTGCATGTTCTACATTTTTTGTTGCATTTGCAACCCTTATTGTTGTTTCCAAAATTCACGAAACCAGTCTTAGGAAACGACCGGACTTGGTGTCGACCACCGCTAACTTAGAGTCTAAGAGGGTGGCTTTCAGATGATCGGCCTGGAGCCGACGGCAAACGAAGCCCACAGAGGTCAGAAAAAGGCGCGAGTTCGAAGTCATGATCAGGCATTCGCCTTCCCAATCATTTTGGGGGACCTAGCGTTGATGAAGAATACCCAAGAGTCTTGCGTGTGGGTGTGAGTGTTCTCGCAGCAGAATGCTGACTTCTACTTCGAATCCTGCGCCTCCATGGGATTGCAAGGGTGAGCCCCTAGGGGTGCTCCACTTAAACCATCCAGGTGTTCCTCGACCCTAGTTAGGTTTCGGGTTGTTTTTTCAGTTTTTTTTCTCCATCTCCGCATGACCACATTTGCCCTGATTTTTGACGCTTTTTATCATAAGTTTTCCTTCAACTCACTTGAGTCATGTACGACATCTTTCTTGCCATGACTTTTTGCCGTTTGACTTACCAGATCATGGCAAACATCACACATACTAAATAGGGTATCATGTACAGTTTCTGTTTGAAGAAATGGACAGAGCAGGCTGAAGGCACAACACTGCCGTTGGAGCACCCTGGCATGCATTGGCCTTCGAGAAACTCCTAGTTCAGGCGAATCTCAAGGCTATTCTTCTCTATAATTTAAGCGTCACATTTAAAGGTACTTAATTCGATTTCTAAAAAGAAGGTAGAATGCATGGTACATTTCTAAGAAGGGTTGTCAGTCGAAGATGAAATTGTAAAACGCAATCAGAGAAGTGCGTTTATTATGATGAACGACATTATGGGATACTGATGTGATGGCTTCCGTTCTCTTCGAGACATCACCAACGCCTTTTCGCTTCAAGTCGATTTGCAAGGCTGGTTGCGAAGTGTCGCAGCAGCTATTGTGTCACACAGATTGTTGCAGCAGAACGAGTTGGGATAAGCATTGCACATGCAAGTTGGTCCCTTGTCCCATACAACTTCGTTATCTTGGAGTACTCTGAAATGGGATACATGGCACTTCATGCTTTGCTTGAGCTATGATATAGCGAAAAATGAAATGCATGCAGTACTCGTCTCAATAGCTGAGAACAGAAGGGACAACCTAAGATCAGAACTACGATAAGTTCTCCATATCATGTTCAAGACGGATAAAGCAGTGTGTCTGACACCCGAAAATACGGTACTGAAACACTCCAATTCGCAAGAGGGAGAGGTGAGGCTTTAGCGTTAGTGAGAAGTGCAATCAGGACCAATCGTCCGTTGAGCGAAGATCAAACGGGGGAGCGGGAGGATTGTGAGATTTCTGGTTCTCGTGAATGTGGTGGAAACTGTGTTATGCAATGAAGTGAAAGGAAGGGGTCTCTTTATGAGCTCTCACAATTCCCAGGAAAATAGGCACGAAGTGAGCGTATAAGAGCTCTTGGCGCACCCCTACCCGCACACACATAACCCCGCTAGGGTGTCCCTCAAGAGGCCCGAGGCAGATGCGGCAAAGGACGAGCCGCAGCGTGTGCTGTGCGATATGCGACGTAGTATGGTACACTCTATTTAGCGTGACGCCTAACCGCTACAGTACGCGCTGCGACTCGTCTTTTGCCGCGCCTGCGTCTCTTCCTTCGCCGCGCGACGGGACTTCTTGGGGGACACCCAACCCCGCTACGGCAGTCTTGGTGGAGTTTATGGGGCAGAGTTGGAGTGTGATATCTGATTCCAGAAGCAGATACTACAGAAACAGCCATGATGGTGAGGTAGGTGTCGCTTTAGGCTACCAGGATAGGGCTGGAAGAAAGTGGGGAAGAAAGTACAAAAGCGACGATTGCCTCTGTAGTGCATGCTTTCTTGCAGGTGGGGGAGAAAGTTCCAGGTAGTCAGTTAACCGTATAATAACTGTAATCACCGTTCCTTCGGGAATACCTGCATCAGTTCGGATTCTGCTATCGAGTGCAAAAAACACCAACTGATTAAAAAGACAACTGGAAGCTCGGCAGGGAAGGGGCGTGGCTGCACACTAAGCAGTCTGCTCCTAGAGGCCCGAGCGAAGAAATAGCGTAAGCAAGGACTTTCAGGAATCCATAAAAAGTGCTCATCACCAAAAAAAACCTACTCGCCGCCATAAGCGCAAGACACAACCATATTTGTCCCGGTGGGAAATTTGCACACTTTGTGAGCACATCCAACTTTTAGGTTTTGCCAGTTCGCAATCTTAAAATAAAGGAATTGTTTCATATGTCCCCATTTTGGCAGCGGATAGAATCACGATTAAATACTCACGTTGGATAGTGGTCTAATTTGCCAGTTATAAATGTTAGCTTCTGTATTAGGTTGAAGATTTCGTAGTGATGCGGTTACCCAAGACCAGGGCGTTTGCGTCAACACTTCATTTTCCTGACTGTTTTGGAAAAGTAGCCTGAATAGTTTTATTTTTTGCTGATTTTATACGAAGTGGAATATTTATCGAATTTTACTGACCATTGAGCGAGATTTTGTGGAATACTCGTGTCTATTGGCAGAGGCGTAGTGCATGGCCAAATCATTGCCTTTGCTTTTGCTTCCAGATTGCAGTCCCAGTCCTGGAATTTTTCAACACCTCATATATATGTGAACATTCAGTCGGGTCTAAATATCGACCTCGACAGTACTGTAAGGATCTGAGTTTCAGCACAGAGCTGCCCTGATTAGCTCGAATGGTCAAAGATGGACTTTTCCGATAAGAGAATAGCCGATTAGAAAACAAGGTCGAGGTAACCACTGATGCAGAAATGAGGAAAAAATCAAGAAAAATCAATTCACCTGATGACACCCATCATTCCCCGTTGGCTTTCGCATTGATGCGATTCTCATCGGTGCTGCTCTCATAAGCGCTAACGCTCTCTGTTAAAGCGGCAAGTGTCGGACGACGAGAGGTCAGCGAACGTTCGGGCGTACCAAGAGCGGCGAGGGTACGGCCCCGTTAAGCCAACAAATCTGTTAATAGTCGGTCACCTGGAGACGAGATCCTTGGCAGTGGTTACCACTATGGACGAACTGCTACGCCATGCGGGCTTGCTCTTTACCGCAGAAACGGCCTTGGTTTTTCTTAGGCCTAACTTCCCTTTACACTATTCAGGTTTTCCCCTCTTCAACCTACACTTTGTCGTATCACATGCCCTTAAAGGACGAATTCACGCTGGAAAAGGCATCCCATTTCAAATTAACTTAGCGATGGTGAGTGGTACACTAAAGAAGGAAAAACCATGAGAAACGGCCCAGAACCCGAGAAATGGGACCCCTTCCTTGCCCGTTGATTTGAGCATTGATGCGACTATCATCGCTGTGCCCTCTTCAACACTACGCTCTCTCACCTATCTAATCACTCGCCACGTATAGACCTGCGGCGAGTGATCAGATGATCGGTGGGCGTGCACTGGCCCACCGCGCCAAGATTGAGCCTTAATAGGTCGCCGAGGTCAACTCCTTCGGTGCCAATTGCGCTTCAGTCCGCACCCTTAGGAGGTCCGCGGGTCCCTCAACTAGGTGAATTGCTCCTTCTTCGACCTTCACTCTAATCGTGAATTCGTCCTTTAAGTCAACGAAAACAACTACTTGGCAAGCGCAGCGTTTCGGCAGCGTTATGGAGTGTCATTGCGAAAAAAACGGGGGGGGGGGTGCCAAGCAGTGCACTAACTTGTGAAGACTTTAGTCCACTAGCAATGTACAATGACGTCATCGAAAGCGAGTCCTCCAGCTATTGTGTTCATCGTCTTTGAGCTTCCTTTCGCTTTGCAGGTCCTCACGTTGAGCGCCTTTTTTTGCCTTTCGTTGCGTAATGGTTGATTGAGTAAATACCCACTTACCATTCTGTACATGTTCTTAGCTGGACCGAGAACATTTCGCATCTGAACAGCTCCGGTGAGGTTGAGCAACGGGCTTGCACCTGCTATATCACGGCGAACTTCATTGTGAAAATCGAGGAAGATTTTTCTTGCCTCATCAGTTTGGTTTAGATCTGCTGGGCAGCAAAAATCTAAAACATAATTCAAATTTAACGGAAATACTTTTACGCCGTCTAGGACTGTTTAGGCAGTTTCTAGTTTAACGACGTCATGGTGCCTTCTCCAGCGAGCATTCGACGTCTGCGGCGATCAGCCAGTCACGTACCTGCTTCGGTATTTGATGTCACCAGCACCTTAAAGACAGAATACATTATAAAAAAGCAACCATTTCAAATTAGGTTAAAGATGAGGGGTGGTACAAGAAGGAAGGAACAACCATGAATAACAGCTCGAGAACCCGACACAGAAGTGGGACCTCTTCCTTGCCCGCGTTGATTTGCGCATTGATGCGACTCTCATAGATGTGCCCTCTTCAACACTACGCTCTCTCTCTACTATCTAATCACTCGCCACGTATAGCCCTGCGTCGGCTGATAGTGACGAGTGATAGTCGGTGGGCGTACCCCGCCAACCGCCCAAGAGTGAGCCATGCTAGATCGCCGAGGTCAAATCTTTCGCTGCCAATTGCGCGTCGGTCAGCACCCTCAGGAGGTCCAGCCTGTCTCCGACTATGCAATTTTCCCCTTCTTTGACCTTTCGTTCTTATCGTAAATTCCACGTTTAACACACAATATTTGGCAAATTTGAGCCGGAGTTTGCAATGAAAAGGCGGCGTCATATGTTGTAAGTCAAAGTAGAGGGCATTCTTGTGGCGCAGGGATGAAGGAAAGATCATGAGAAACAGCCTGAAACCTAAGAAATGGGGCCCTCCTGTCCCCGCCCGTTGGCTTTTCCCAATTGATGCGGATCTGTCCATGCGATGCTGCCCTCCTCAACGGGACCTGTTCCCCCAATAGGCCCTGTCGCGTGGCGAAGGAAGAGGAAGGGACACAGAGGCGGCAAAGGACGAGTCGCAGCGCATACTGTAGCGGTTAGGCGTCAGGTTAAATAGAGTGTACCATACTACGTCTCATATCAGACAGCACGCGCTGCGACTCGTCCTTTGCCGCATCTGCGTCTCTTCCTTCGCCGCGCGACGGGCCTCTTGGGGGATGCCCTCTTCAACGCTAACGCTCTCTAGCAAGTGGCTAGAGTCAGACTGCGGAAGGATGGGCGTGCCGTGAAGCGAACGACGTGGCCATCCTTCCACCATCGTCTCTTCACCGCAGGAATCGCATTGTCCCCCTATAACGAACCGGCCTGCCTTCCGACTAGGTTTTCTCTCCCTCCGCAAGGAGTACCTCCCCAGGATCATTGTACCCCGCCTGAGGCTTAGTCCCATATTCAACAAAGAAGAGACATTTAACGCGGTTCAAGTGAAGTACTACAACAATGCCCTCGTACCTTGCATAGCACTCCCGCTTTCTTCATTTGCACCATGCGCCTGCCTGCGCCCTCTCGTTGATTATGCTCTTATGCCTGTCTTCTCTTTTTCGCGCTCAGTGTCTTATTGCCTACAGGAACCAGTAGGCTCTTCATTATTGCGTTTTTGACGGTTTTCTTTCTTCTTTTCTTCACCGTCGGCCCACTTGGCAACCCCCGCAAGCAAACCCTTTTCATTTTGCGTGTAGGAATCAGACCAGTTTGATCATGTAGTGTGCCTTTAAGTGATTCAAAAATGCGTATTTTCCTTCTCGGAATAGCTTCATTCCACCTGGTCGTTTCTTAATATCTTCAAGAAGCCTTCTTCTGCAGCGAATTATAATGTGAAACAAAGCCCAGTGGAACTAGTAAAAATATTTTTACTCCTAGTCAGTACCCTTCATCAAGTCTTAATTTAAGCTGAAAATCCTCATAACCACGGTCAGCCATGACGTCCGCACATGTTCAAAAATTTCGCGACCTCCACCCTCATGGTGGTTATGGGGGTCTCATCGAGATCTGTAGGGGGGTCTCGATGAGACCCCCATAACCACCATGAGGCTCAGGAAGCTCCCCAATACGACCATTCTTCTTCCTACCCCTACCACCACCCTCGCCATCGTGGCTATTCCTATAGCATTTGATTCTGAGATCAGTCAACACAGCCCAACATCGCCAACTTTTTATGCGACCCCTTCCGGTGAAAATGTAGTTCGAGGGGGCCATTCCATTGTACTCAACAATATCTAAGCTAAGAATATAGCGCTCATGATACGTTATCGACTCATTTTGAACATGCGCCTGGTAAGTGTCGGTATTGTGGAAGAACCCTGGGATGCTTTCACATCTTCGCCTGTCATGGCCCAAAGAAGCGGTCCTGGACCAGGGAATGGACATTTTTCCCTAGCCTAAGGGTGAGAGAGTTCCAGGGTGGATGACCAGGTGCAAACAATTGGATGGGATGTGGGCAGGACGCAAGGAATAGAGGAAATCCACCGGTCCTTATCTCTTATCCTTTGTTGGAGAATCTGGAGAAATGCTTTCTACTGCTAAGGATAAGATAACAAGGAGTGACCCCCTCGAACTACATTTTCACCCCCTTCCCCATAACCAACCACAAATGCGACCCCTCGTTCGAATAGTGAGAACGCACGGTTAACCCTGCTCATAACCCTTCGTCAGCTTATACTCCATCACTTTAGCCAGTATTTTTCTGTCTTCTCCTTAAAGCAGTGCCATAATTTAACTAACACTTAGCTTTGCTTTGCGATTTTTGATTACTGGAAGCACCACAAAATTCGACACTTCAAAAACACTGTTGCCTCGTTTGATGTACGTGTAAAGTGTTACGAAACCTCAGCGAATTGCCTTGGCTCACAGCTTCATGGAAATTTTAATTTCGACTGAACACAATAGATATCTAGCCTATTCTCTA